TTTTCCCTATACTTCTATTTCGGTATATAGTACATTATTTAATTTCTGTTTTTTTTTTCTTATATTAGTCTTATATTCCATCCCTACTGTGTTATTCCTATGCATGTCTGCACTATCATGTATAGCCCTATTCGGACGGTAATTGTTTCTCAGGGGGACTTAAGTGATTTTCACCATTTACAGGGGGTAGTTGGTGATTTTAATGCCGCCCGAATCCAGGATGTCGGTGTTTTTCTCTCACCACCCCCGTAAAAATCCCTGGCCGAATTACCTACTGTTTTTTGACAAACACCAAGGTCGTGTGGTAATTTAATTGCCATCCGAATCCACATCTCTTAGTTTACAAGAAGAAACCGATTCAAAATTCAGTGTTTAAACCCTTTTTGAGCACTCCCGAACATCGTAAGGTAACGTTGTACTTCGGTGTAATTTGCATACATATTTCTCAAATGCTGGAAAGTATTTAAAAGAACAATATTTCATAACTGCTCCACCACAGCGACTGGGAGCAGAAAGAGAAGAAAAGCACGTAAACATTAGAAATCGGTCTTTATTATGGCAGCAGCAGGTATGCAATACAATTTTAAAATGTGTATTATAAACAGATATATATCGCGTATAATTATATACAACTATAGCGGTCTATTTTCCTATTTTTAAACAGGAGATTTAAATAATCAAATAACAAACAGGATTATATATTATAAAACATGCTTGGAATAATAAGAATACATTTTACATAATAATAAGAATACATTTGTAAATAAAATACATTTTATTTACAGCAGACAATCATGTGACTGGCCACGTGAGCAGCGCGTTCCCGGGTTCATAGGATCACAGAACTCGCTCCTCCACTGTGAATAAATCACCATCTGAATTCATGAGTTTTATCACTGAGGTGATATGTACATTTTTTTGTACAGACGTCCATATGAGAAACAATTACCGTCCTAATCGGGCTTATGTCTGCACTATGTCTGTACTTTCTTCTGCACTGGAAGCTCCTGTCGTCAAGTCAAATTCCTTGTGTGTGTAAACATACTTGGTAATAAAGCTCTTCTGATTCTGATTCTGATAAAACTGAGCACGCATTTAATGCCACACCCTGGACATTTCACTTCAAAAAAGTGTCACGAAAATGTGCAAGAAGCAACATTTATCTACTGAACCTGGGTTGGAAAAAAGGCATCTAATTCATTCAAAAAGGAAGAAATAAAAGTTACTGTGTTTTGCGTCTGTGCTTTAGGCTGTCAATCAGAGGTGGACAAAAGCCACCAAGAGAACCAGAGTCATTCTAAGGATCAACAATGCTATGGACCCATGAGATTTGTAGGGTCAGGCTAATCTCCACCTCTCTGTGCACCCAATGGGTGGTCCATTCAGTCCTTGGTCGCTTGGTTTTTCTCATCTACAAGGTGGGAGCAGAGTGGAAAGCCAGTAAAGCTGAGTTTTGTAGTCTCTATTAACATCTTTAACAACAATGATGAAAAGTATATTAGTTATTAAATATGCTTACAGTAAAGGCTTAATCACATACATGTTATGAAAAATACTTATAACATTAGGTAAGTACCACCAAACACTGCGCAGAAAAACCCCAAAGGGGATATTTCTTTATGCTTTATGCAAAACAGATATCATTTACTTCATATAAACTGTCTGATTCAACCTCTTTGCGTTGAGAACGGTAGTCTGTTTTGAATCATCGTAATTCTGCAAGCATTCTGGTAGGCAGTTATGACTCAGCCAGCTGGTCCATTCAGCACTTCTCAAGTCTTTGAATGTACAGTTTATGTCAGCATGGCAAACTAGTAGCTAACACTGAGTGTTGTCATAGAATGAGGAGCCAAAATCCATAACAGCACGTCTGCTTTTGCATACACAATAACGACATTCCTGTAACTGCCAAGAGAGAGAGGAAATTGATTTTTTTAGCTGCTTGAAGGGCGGGTGATAGGAGGATTCCAGGCACAGGAACATTAATCAGGAGAGCCAGAGAGTCCATGCTCACTGTAAGCAACCCCCTGCCTTATCTATCGCCCGTTTTTTTTGTTTCTCAGTATGTGTGGGGTGGGGTAAAACGGAGGGGATATTTTCTAGTGGTAGATTCCCAGGTGAACTCACAGAGACTCACCCGCCCAACGACTTAACAGCCAGCAGCCCCTTATTAAAGAACTGAAACAACATTTTTTTGCACAGCAACCAAAACCACCGAAACAACACAACTGACAAAAGGCACTGGCAGTCATTCAGATTCTGCAAACTGAATGAGATGTAAAAAAGTGGGTTAATGTAGCATGGTCTTGCACTCCCTTGTGTATGTGATATGGACCATGGTAACAACTGTAATTAGATATGATAAATTCAATATTCGCATCTTGACATCTTAACTAAATTTAAAGGGGTCATATGATGCTATTTTAAAGATCATTATTTTGTGTATTTGGTGTAACAGAATATGTTGACATGCTTTAATGTTCAAAAAACACATTATTTTTCAAATACTGTACATTATTGTAGGTCCTCTATGCCCCGCCTCTCTCAAACACGTCGTTTTCAACAAAGCCCCCTCCTTTGACAAGCACAGTCTGCTCTGATTGGCCAGCTGTTAGAAATAGCCTTTGTGCACAGCCAGCCTTGTACTCTTCTAGGTTCAAAAAAACTGTCGTCCATAAAATGCGTTGCACAAATTCGAACATCTGGGTTGTGCTGTTCTGTTGTAAATAAATCTTAAACAATGATTCCTAAATGCATCTACTTCCGGAAGGCCGAATGAAGTGCTTTTGCTTTCGCACTGAAACACACAGCATCTCCCTGACATGGCTGTTCCTGAAACCACGCCTTCTTTCTTTGCATCAACATTTGGGCAGCATTATGCTAATCTTCCCACATAGTGACGTAGATATGTGGGGGCGTGTTAGAACGAGCCGTTTTAGGTAGGTGTGGCTGACTCTTAACTTTTATAAAGAATATCTCTTTGGATTTGAGACTTTAGTCTTTGCAACTATACAGATCTTCTTTATGCACCAAGAGCTTGTAACACTCCAAAGAAAAAGGAAAACTTGAAATCGCATCATATGACCCCTTTAAAAATGTGATAAATTAGCCATGTAAAATATATGCACAAAAAAGCTGCTGACTTAAAGTGTTAGTTCACCCAAAAATGAAAATTCTGTCATTAATTACTCACCCTCATGTCGTTTCAAACCTGTAAGACCTTAGTTCATCTTCGGAACACAAATTAAGATATTTTTGATGGAATCTGTTCAGATCAAATCACAACGACGTAGGAAACAGATCTGGCGTGACACAGAACAGCATATGCTGTTTACGTCCAGCGGATACTCTCCAAAATGGCGCTACAGGGTGACGCGGAGGAAACAAATTGTTGAATAAAGTCTTTTTTTTTTTTTCGCACAAAAATTATTCTCGTAGCTTTGTAAAAAAAAAACCCTGATGTCACATAGATTATTTTACAGATCTCCTTGCTATGTTTCTGGACTTGGGAACATTTCAGTTGTATTGCTGTCTATACAGGGTCAGACAGCTCTCAGATTCCATCAAATACCTTAATTTTTGTTCCGAAGATGAACGAAGGTCTTACAGGTTTGAAACGACATGAGGGTGAGTAATTAATAACAGAATTTTCATTTTTGGGTGAACTAACCCTTTAACTTGCACTTTCTCTGAGAAAAGACACAATGTCCGTTTAAAGCCTATGTGCTATCTTTTGACATCCTCAAGAGAATGTGATTTCAATGGTTGGCAGGAGGGAATTGATGGGACTCATTTGCCAAGTCCATTTCATCTCAGCTTAGGCCACTTTGTGAGGCAAAAGACAGGGGACAGCCTCTGCAGGTTTCATTTTACACATTATGTAAAGGGAGTGGCCATTCAACTGAGACTGCGCTACTGTCAGTCACGGAAGCCTTGCGGATTGCAAAAGCTGATTCCAAATCATCAGTTCTTATTCTGCTGGATCTATCTGCTGCTTTTGACACTGTCAATCCTCAAATCCTCTCTCCTGCCCTCTCATCACTGGGCATCACAGGGATTCC